CCCGAAGCACGACACCAGTGTGAGGCGTTTCAGCTGCCCGAAAGCAGCAGCGAGTGCAACAGATTGGAAGGACTGCGGCTGAGAGACTGCCCTTGAAACGGCAGCAGGAGCGAAGTGAGAAGGTGAGCGGGAAGTGGAAGAAGAAGAAGAAGAAGAGGGAAGGGATGCAGGAGCGGAAGAGAGGCACATGAGAGGCGATTCAGAGGGAAGGGATGGAGGCAGCCACGTAGGCATGGGAGTGCAGGTGAAGTGAAAGTCCTTAAGGGTTAAGGAGTGTAAGGGAGGGCACAGCACCTCCACAAGAATCCTGGAGATGCCACATGATTGGCCTCCCATGTTCCGTGCTCTTCTGCTGCTGCCCACTGATTTTCGACTGCCCATAACGTTCCTTTTGCTACTGTTGTTTCTGCGGCCTGACTGTCCTCCCTCCCTTGAGACTTTATCCCCTTGCATCCCTCTTCCTTGTTGCAACGATATTCCTCCTCCCCTTTGCCCCGCTGTTGCGGCTGTATCACCAATTACTGCTGTTCCATCTGCTGGTGCTGCTTCTGTGGCTGCAGCACTCGCACCAGCAGCAGCACCAACATCCGCCGTACCAGCATCAGCATCAGCATCAGCATCAGCAGCATCAGCGGCAGCAGCATCAGCAGTTGCACGAGGCACGCGCATGGTCCTGAGGCTCTCAGTCGCCGCATTGCTCTGCTCGTAATACTGCTGCAGCAGAGATTCCATCACAGCCACTGCCTGCCCCTCCGGGTCAACCCCAACAGCAAACTCTCCATCCTCCTCAGTCCCTTCAGCAGCATCAGCAGCTTCAGCAGCGTCAGCAGCATCAACAAGCAAGTCATCATCACCCGGTAGCATTCCGTCAAAGTCTTCCAGGCGCACCAACCCTCCTTCCCCCTCCTCACATACCCTGCTCCGCGTGCCCACAAACACGCCCGCAGTCGTGGCAGCAGCAAACGCCTCACTCACCGCATCCTCCCGCGCCGTCGCCGCGTCTTTCTGATTCACTGCCACTCGCAGCGCCCGCCACGTTGAGATGCCCGATCTGATTTTAGCGATGGCGAATTTGATCTCGGACAGGGCGTCTTGCGGCTGCGCCCGCGCCATGCGCGCCCAGTGAACAGCGGACGGCACGGCTGTGTGGCACTCCTTGGCCGATTCCATGAGAGTGACCATGTCTTGACTTGACTCTATGAGGTCGGCTAGGGCTGCTGCTGCCGCCGTTCTGATGTCTACGTACTCTCTTTCTTCTCCGTTTCTGAAGTTGCCTGCTCGTGGTGCTATTGCTGCTGCTGCTGCTGCAAGCCCTGCTGCTCCTCCCACCCTTGCTAGTGCGGCACCAGCAGTAGTTGTAGCTTCATTCGCTCCCTCCACCCTGTCAACCTCTTCTGCTGCTTCACACTCCTCCCCTCTACCCCCCTCTCCAACCTCCCGTCCTTCCTCCCCTCCTGCCTCCCCTCCTACTTCCCCTTCCTCTCCTCCCCTCTGCACCACGCGCACCAGCATGCCAACGAGACTATCCAATGACACCCGTTGAAGCACCACGCTTCCCCCTCCCTCCCCCTCTCCATCCCCCCCTCCTCCTCCCCTTCCTTCTCCACTCCTAGTCTCAGCATCTCCCTCACTCGGCGCTGCAAAAGTCTCCGGCATTCCCTTCAGCACAAGGGACTGCAGGCCGCCGCAGTGCGCCAGCATGCCCGGGCGGAAGGACAGCAGCCCTGAGAGCTCAAGTGCGTGCAGACGGGGCGAGGAGAGGTGGAGGAGAGAGCGGAAGGGCGGGGCGCTAAACAGGCGGTAGGTGGTGCCGTGGAGGGCGAGGGAGGAGAGGGCAGGGTTGGCTTCAACCAGGGCTAAGAGGGCGTGGCTTGAGACCAAGGGGCAGTTGTGAATAGTGAGGTGGGTGAGTGTGTGGAGGAAGCGAGCGAGGGCGTGCAGGTCGAAGGGATCAATGGTGCAGGAGAGGAAGGCGAGAGAGGTGAGGCGAGGGAGGGATGCGAGAGGCGCGAGGCACGATTCGAGCTTGGCGGAGTGCAGGGTGAGGGACTTGAGGGAGGCGCGGACAGATGAGGAGGAGGAGGAGGCGAGGGAGGAGAGGGTGGAGGGAAGGGGGTTCCAGAGTGTGAGGGAGGTGAGGGAGGAGCAGCGGGTGAGGGGGGTTAGTTTCGAGGCAGGGATGAGGAGAGCGAGGGAGCGCAGAGCAGGGAAGGCGTGGATAGGAGGGAGGGGGGTGCCAGTGCAATTTCGGTGGATGATGGCGCGCCGGGCGAACGGAGAGTCAAGCTCCAGGGATGTCACGAGGCTGGAAGGTGGGAGGAGAGGGAATGGGAGGGAGGCCAGGGGAAGGAGGGAAGGGGAAAGATGGAAGGGAACGGAGGAAAGGGGAAGAGAAAATGGGACGGGGAAAGGGGGAGCGTGAAAGGCAGGAGTTAAGAGGAGAGGAACACGAGAAAACAAACTACGTGCTTCAAAAGGGTTGGCGGCATTGAGGCGTTGAGGAGAGGAAGGAGGGGAACGGAGAGGAGGAAAATTGAAAGGTCATTCCGTTGTGAGCTTGAATGGTCGATCGTGTGACTCGATATGCTGAGTCAAGTGTCATGTCAATAGCGAGGACGAGAGACGCAGCTCACGGGCATTGCTTGGCGAGCTTCGTCCACGCAGCAGCGCTCATGTAGAATTCCCCCCATTTCGCGACGAGATTCAGCTTTTCCAGCTTCGGGCAGCTCGCACCGACGCTCGCCAGCAGCTCGTTTCCTCGGATCGAGCAAACCTCCACGGTAAGCGAGATGATGTGGGTAAATACCCTCGAAAAATCGTCGAAAGCTTTGAGAAAGCTGCGCACGTTGCGATACTGGAAAGGTGAGACGAAGAAGAGGTTGAGCGAGTGAGGCGTGCGGCGGGAGAGGCGGCGAAGGCGAGAGCAGGAGAGAGCGACGCTGCAGCGATCGCAGGGGTGGTTCAGTCGGGCGAGAAGCAGCAGAAGGAGGTCGTCCGGGAGCGATAGCAGGCGACTGTCCTTCGTTTCATCATCCAACGACGTTTTCCGGCACGTTCTTTTCATGGTCGCGAGCTAGTTTCGGCGAAGGGTAACGGTTAGGGTTACGCTGTGAACCGACTTCGGCTGTTGGAAGCTTCGTGATGATTACAAGAACCGAAGAAGAGGTGGCATTGATGGGACAAAGAACAGTTGAAACAAGTAAGCCACTAACGCGCGGAGCGCTTCTAAGAAATGTGGGGCTTCAAAACCTTTTGTAAAGCTACTTTCGAGTGACTTTCGAGTAACTGCTACTACTACTGTTGTAAGCTACTATGTGAAGGGAGGTAGGGCTGCGTTCAATGGCGCATAACCAGTGCGGCCCTTTGACACACAAGCACTGCGTTCCTCGAAGGGGACAACCTCCCAGGGGCCTCGGCGAAGTTTGGTGTTGTTAGCAAAGCAGGCTCTCTAAAGATTTTTTCAGCATTCAACATCGCGTACAGCAGCAGCAGCCGTTGTTCGCCCGTTACCGGGGCTTCGCCAACTTCGCGCACTGTTTTACCAAACCCTGCTCCGCTGGCCTGGCCGAGTCGGCCTACGCTTTGGGACTAGCCCGAACCTCCATGCCAGCCTAGCACTAGCTAGTCACACGCACCGCGTAACCGTTGCATGTTTCGCACATACGTATTCTCTCATGCCTGTGCGCATACTTTGTACTAGTTTGACACCTAGCGCAATCCTCGCTATCTCGTTCCATTGCACCCGGCACTTCCAAACAGCTAAGTTTTTGTGGATTTTGTGTATATAAAGTTGTATGCGGTATGCAGGATGATACGACACGAAGCAAGGACTAGTGGATTCCTTACACTTGTTAACTGTTTACACTACCGTATTGTTCCACTACAGATGCGAATCTGCTGTGCTCTCAACTTCTGTGATGTGCTTTCATGTTGATGGCTTCCATTCCAAAAGATTGACACTCAAACACGTAGTACCTTCCACATCCATTCGAGCAATCCAGGCTAGGAACGTGAAAAGGCTTCAAAAGTGGGGTCTTCACACTGAAAAAGAGCCATTGACAGACAAACGAGACGTCAGGATGAGAAGTTAGCAAGAGCCAAGAGAGCAGGTTCAAGAGGGCCGGAGGGGGAGACTCCACCAGATCATTGTTGGTTGAAAGGAACAATGCAGAATTCAAGCAAATACATGCGGTATGTACTAACCTAGAGTAGACGAGCATAAGTAACGTGCACACTAACAGAAAGAAAAGAATGCAGAACACGACCGCCATTACACACCTCTTCGTTATGCACTCACCCCGTTGAGCGTGAAGTTGCAGCGGACCTTCTGCCGCAACTGCCACACGGATCGCGGGTACAATGTGCTGTTGTGCCACCACCCCACGCTATCCCGCACGTGCACCGTCTCATTGCACACGTGCAGGTCGCTCACGAAGCCGAGCTCGCGGTAGTGCAGCAGCAGCAGGTCGTCCGTGCTGAGATTCAGGAGGGAGAGGGTGGGCGCGTCGTCACTGTGCGGTCCAAAAACCCCCATGCGCTCCACCTGCAGGGGCGAGGGGGAAGGTGAAGGCGGAGGGCAGGGAGTGCGGCACACAGTACAAGGAATGATGAGGTGTGGAGTTAGGAGTAAGAAACACTGAACTACAGTGAAATTTGCCTGTACTTCACTTTCGGAATTGGCAAGACAACAGGACGCACCTTCCGCGGGTCAGCAATGAACTTGCGGTGGCCCTGCTCGCCCAGGCACACCTTTGGACTCAGCAAGCAAGCAAGCAGCACGCTCCTGTTACAACAACAAGCCAGGCCTCACTCACTCACCTTTCGGGGATCCACAATGAACTTGCGGTGGCCCTGCTCGCCCAGGCACATCTTGGGGCTCACAAACCGCCCGCCCTCTCCATTACTATGACACGCGGGCTCCGGCCAGTGGAACACAAACCGCTCGATCAGAAACTCATCGTCCCTCTGCCCTCCCCACGCCTCGTCCGCAGAACCAGGCAGCAGAGCCCTCTTGGCCTCCTCGTAGTCTGTGTATTCGTGCGTGTATTGTGGGACTCCTAGGACCTCCTCCTCGTGTTCGATCCGCGGGCGGCAGTGACGCACGGAGAACCAGAGCGAGCCGAAGGTGATCACTGCTGGGGCGGGCTGTGCTGGTGCGTGTGACGGCGCGTGCGCTGCTGCTGCGTTGGTGGCGGCAGCTTCCGTGGCAGGAGTGGATGAGGAGGAGGAGGAGGAGGAGGAGGAGGAGGAGGAAAGGGAGGACGGGGAGGGGAAGCGTGAGAGGAAGGCTTGGATGGGAGGGATGGGGAGAGGAGTTGCGGAGGGAGGGAGGTAGAGAAAATCGTCCATGTCAAGATAGAGAACCCACTGGGAGGTGGTTCGCGAGCGATAGAGGCAGTCATGGAGGGCCAGGATCTGCCCGTGGTTCCACGGATTGAACGGCCGGATGCCGTCGAGCGAGACGATCTCGACACGGCCCCGCGCCATGTCAGCAGCCAGCGTGGCGCGGACTGCTGACGTGGCGCCGCCTGAGTCGTAGAGTGTGGAGTGGTCGACACCGAAGAGGAAGTGGTAGTGGAGAAACTCGAGGAGAGAGCGCGGGAGGACAGAGGGGCCGTAGAGAGGGGCGAGGCAGAGGTTGGTGTGGAAGGGGAGGGAGGGAGAGGAGGAGGGGTCGGTGATGGAGAAAGTGGGAGTGGAGTGCGGTTTGGCTTGGTGAGAGCTGGTGGGAGTGAGGAAGAGCGGGATGGGGGTGGGGGGAAGGAGTGAAGGAAGTGAGGAAGGGAAGTAGCGGGGACCAAGGGACAGGAAGGAAATGAAAGAGTCGCATGGGAGAGGCTGAAACGGTGAAGTCGGGGAGCAGGCGGGATTCAGAGAGAGGTTTGGTTTGATGTGATGTGAAAACAGCCAGCTCACCCCTTTGGGCACACAGGGGCGGATGGGAGGGGGGAGACGATGGGGGAGAGGAGAGGGCAGAGGAGCAGAGGGCAGCAGGCATGCCAGAGGGAAAGCTACAGAGCAGAATGCACGTGTGTGTGTGTGTGTGTGTGTGTTTAATAGAGAGTGCTCGCACAACCACCTTAGGTCAGACCTCAGAGGAGAGTGGGTGGGTGGGAGGAGGGGAAGCAAGCAAAGCACCCACCTGAGCAGCAGTGGGATGAGCTCATCGTCCAAGACTGCAGCGACCACCCCGTCATTGACAGCAGGAATGGGCGAGAGGAAGGAGCAGAGCAGAATGAGGGTCTCATAGGTCGTCTCCCTGCTGTCTGCGGGGTAGATGATGCGCAGCGACCCCGTGACTTCTGTGTCTGCCAGTGATGCTGACGGGGCTGATGCTGCTGCTGACGTGGCGGATGAGTCTGATGTGGCGGATGACTCTGACGTGGCGGATGAGGCTGACATGTAAGAGGAGTGGTTGGATTGCTTCCATCTGGACGAAGGTGGTGGGAATGGGGTTGGGGGAAGGGAGCGGGAGGAAGGAAGGGGGTGGGCGGAAAGGGATGTGGGGAGGGAACAGAAAAAGTGAGTGTGTGGGTACAAGAAAAGAGGCATGAATGTTTTCAATGCAGAGGAACTAAGAAGAATCTTTAGAGCAACGGAACGTTTTATCTGAAGGCCTTTGGAGCACGAGGAGAGGAGAGGAATGAGGGAAGTAGTGAGGAGTGGGGGGAGATACACGCGCAGACAAGGCAAGGAGGAGCGCAGGGCGAGAGATTGGGTTTAGGGTAGGTGCAAGGTAGAGCCAGATCAGGACTGCCCACGGACAAGGATTTCGGGTTGTCCCAAGGAACGGGAAAGGGAGGAAAACAGGCAAGGGCGGGACACAGGCAAGGGCGGGACACAGGCAAGGGCGGGACACAGGCAAGGGCGGGACACAGGCAAGAGTGGGAAAGAGGCAAGGGCGGAACGCACACACAGTGGTGGGCGCGGCGCAGGTCTCTCGCTGCTCGCAGCCCCACTCCCAGCGCTGCAAAGGACGCCTCACCCACCTGGTAAGAGCTGCAACGGGGATAGGCAGCAAGTGGGAGAGGTAGAGGGTACGGGTAGAGGGGGTGTGAGGTGGTGTGACAACGAAACATAAATGGCTGACTCAGAAAATCAGGGCCAAGTGAAGCCCACAAATACATTTTTAATCGACTAAAAATTCATCATAATGAGGCATCTTTTCAGTCGACTCAAAAAATGGTCTTGAGGTGGTGTGACAATGGATCACGGAGAAGCCTTTACCAAGACTGCCAGGTGATACGGCGCCCTGGGACCGAGAGAGTGATACCAGCACGACCAACTGCCCTGGGAGACCTGTATGCCTGATTCAGAGCTCTGGTTTCACCTCAAGTGCTGGTTTCACCTCAAGTGCTAGTTTCACCTCAAGTGCTGGTTTCACCTCAAGTGCTGGTTTCACCTCAAGTGCTAGTTTCACCTCAAGTGCTGGTTTCACCTCAAGTGCTAGTTTCACCTCAAGTGCTGGTTTCACCTCAAGTGCTAGTTTCACCTCAAGTGCTGGTTTCACCTCAAGTGCTGGTTTCACCTCAAGTGCTGGTTTCACCTCAAGTGCTAGTTTCACCTCAAGTGCTGGTTTCACCTCAAGTGCTGGTTTCACCTCAAGTGCTGGTTTCACCTCAAGTGCTGGTTTCACCTCAAGTGCTGGTTTCACCTCAAGTGCTGGTTTCACCTCAAGTGCTAGTTTCACCTCAAGTGCTGGTTTCACCTCAAGTGCTGGTTTCACCTCAAGTGCTGGTTTCACCTCAAGTGCTAGTTTCACCTCAAGTGCTGGTTTCACCTCAAGTGCTAGTTTCACCTCAAGTGCTAGTTTCACCTCAAGTGCTGGTTTCACCTCAAGTGCTAGTTTCACCTCAAGTGCTAGTTTCACCTCAAGTGCTGGTTTCACCTCAAGTGCTAGTTTCACCTCAAGTGCTGGTTTCACCTCAAGTGCTGGTTTCACCTCAAGTGCTGGTTTCACCTCAAGTGCTGGTTTCACCTCAAGTGCTGGTTTCACCTCAAGTGCTGGTTTCACCTCAAGTGCTGGTTTCACCTCAAGTGCTAGTTTCACCTCAAGTGCTGGTTTCACCTCAAGTGCTGGAATCATGTTGGATTCACCTGAAGTGCCGGATTCACCTGAAGTGCCGGATTCACCTGAAGTGCCGGATTTACCTGAAGTGCCGGATTCACCTGAAGTGCCGGATTCACCTGAAGTGCCGGATTCACCTGAAGTGCCGGATTTACCTGAAGTGCCGGATTCACCTGAAGTGCCGGATTCACCTGAAGTGCCGGATTCACCTGAAGTGCCGGATTCACCTGAAGTGCCGGATTCACCTGAAGTGCACGAAGCTGTAGCCACCAAATCGGGGAAGCGTGCCCTGAGATGCCTGCGCATTCCCCCCCAGTGCCCCGTGACCCGCTGCTGCTGACAGTCGCGCCTGCAACTGGGATATCAATTCTTCCTGCGGCGAGAGGGAGAGCAGGAGAGGATGTGGGGTTGCGATGGAGAAGATTGGGGAATGAAAGGCACTTGACGTGCATAGGTGGGGCCGTGGAAGGCACCAGCAGTTTCTTCCTGTGCCCCATGGCCAGCTGCTGCTGCTGACAGTCGCGCCTGTAGCTGGGTGGGAGATGACCTCTTCCTTCGGACAGAGGAGAAGGAGGAGATTGATGGGTAAATTGAGGGAAGGGAAGGCACTGGGTGGGCGGTGTGGAAGTGGAGGGGGGAGGCAACAGCAGGCCCAAAAATGTGCCCGCCCCGTGACCACGATTCAAAAACCTCACCACCGTCATGCACCCCTCACCACTCCTCCATCACCTCACCTTCTTTTCCAGCTCCGCCTTGAGCCGCGCTGCCTCCTCCCCTCCTCCACCCGCCCCTCTTTCTCCCCTCTCCCCTCCTCTTTCCACCAGCTTCCGAGCAACCAGCTCCAACCGCTCCACAGCACTGTTCACCGCACTGTTCACTGTACTGTTTACTGCACTGTTTACTGCACTGTTCACGTTGCCAGGAGACGACACAGCAGCCAAGTGGGTTCTGATCTGCTCTGCATGCTGCACCAAATCAGCCACCCGGCCTGCTGCTTCCTTGATAGACACCTGCAGAGACTCATGCAGGGATTTCAACTCCTTCCCCAATTCCTTCCCTTCACTCCCCCCATCCGCTCCCTCCCCCGCCAACCCCCCCTGCTTCCCCCCCACCCCCAGTCTCAGCCCTCCCGCTTGCCCCAGCTTCGCAGCCACAGCAGCAGCAGCTGCCCTTGCAGCTTCAGCCGCTACCTTCTCTCCTATCCTCGCTAGCTCCGCCGCCGCCTCTTTGCTCCTCTCCACCAGCGCTTTACTAAGTTCCGAAACCGTCTCCTTGCTGTGCTCCCCCACCGCTGCTGACACTGATCCCGCCACTCCCTTAGTCACCTTTTCCAGCTCTCCTTGGAGCTCCAGCCTCAGTCCTGCTTGTGCCACCGGCCCAGCCACTCTCAGAATCATATCTTTCACCGAAACCACTTCATCCACAAGCTCCCGCTTGAAATTCTCGGTCAGCTTTTCGGAATTTGCCGAGAGCTGCCCGGCGTGCTTAGCTAAGAGGGAGTTGAGAGCGGCGGCGGAGAGAGGGAGCGGGTCAGAGAGGTGAGTGGTGGCAGCGGTGGTGAGAGCAGCGAGCTCGTTTTCAACAGTGAGGGAGTGGGTGCGTTGCTCTTGGACGAGGGAGTGGAGGCGGGTAAGGGAGTTGAGAGCAGCGCTGGTGCGGTTGTTGATTTCGGCAACTGTCGCTGAGAGGTTTGACATTTGCTCTGACTGCATGCTCTCGTGGTGGGTTATGCTGGGGGTTGGAGAGCCAACAGGGGGCGGGCGGGGAGGAGGAGGAAGGGGAAAACACTGGTGTGGGTTTTTAGTTCCAACTGCTGTGGCTGAAAAAGGTTTGACATCTGTTCTGACTGCATGCTCTCGTGGTCTGTTTTGCTGGGGAGGGTGGGGGATTGGAGACACAGGAGAGAGGGGGACGACGAGGGAGGGCGTTGACACATTTGTTCAGTTTGGCTGGACTTTTCGGTAAGTTAATGTCACTTGATCTCACTGCGTGCTCACAATGCATGGGTCAAGCTGTTGACTCTTCCAACGCACTGACCTGGACATGAGGGGCGACGTGGTGATGTCCTCCTTCCTCAGCGCGTCTGACAGCGACCCAACGTACTGCCAGGGAGCATGGCGGATTGAATGGGGAGGATGGGGAGGGTGAGGATGGCGGGCTTGTGACTCACAGCAGAGGGGACATAATCGAAAAGCGGGCAGTTGAACCACAAATTGCGTTCGTCCTCTTTTCCTGACTCATGACTTCAATGCTTGCCACACCCAACCCTTCTTCACCCCTTCCTCTTCCACCAAACACCCCAACAATCCTCCCATTCCTCGTCTCCCCATGTTCTCCCCCACCAACCACGATGTGCCACGTGCTCACCAGCAGGCTGCAGAAGGACGTGACTATAACGAATCCCACCAGCCACTTAACCGCGTCCGCCATAAACTTCTGCTGAAGCTTCCGTCTGGGTCCCGGACTCTGCGGAGGTCCGCCATGCGGGGTGGCTCCGAGCCTAGCTTCCGCCACGGGGGACGAATCCGAACCTAGCGCCATTGCCGAGGGTCGGTCGAAGGCTCGGTAATGCGGCTGGCTCAGCCCTGATAATCCGCCTGTCGTTCCGCCAATAGGAATCGAGTATTGGGGGTTGGAGCCTGGCCGATCAGAAGCCATTGTTGCATGTATATTGGCCGAATGTGACGCGACAGTAGCAGGTGAATGGGGCAGTAACGCGGCGAATGCGACACTGGCGGGGCTAACGCGACACTAACGGGGCGAACGCGACGGAGAGGGGAAAATAAGAGACACTGAAGTTGCGCCGTGCTGAAGTGACGACCGAGAATCAGGACTGGTTTGGTAAATAGTGAAATAACGACGATCTGTAAATAGTGGCCCTGTTCTGTTGCCGCACTACTAGTGCGGACCCCTCCGCACAGCACCAACTGATGCTTCGACAGGGCTTCTACCACTTATCCCAAAGCTTCCTTTTCAAGGGCGTATTCCTTGAAACAGGCTCGGGACCCTGAACTCCATCCCGAACCTGGCCAATGCTGAACACACGCAAAAGAACAGAGAACCAGTGGTGCTGCGCTATCTCCTCCTCCCAGGCAAACTGGGTGCGAGACTAGTGCTAACATGGGCCCAGTTCTGTTGCCCAGCGGCAAATGGAGGGCGGACAGCACAGCACAGCACCACTGGTGCGGCCGGGTGCTTCCGCGAAGCCAAGAACCCGATTCAGCTTCCTGCCACCCTCCGCGCAACTAGAGGAGCTTCGTAAAAGTTTTGCTGATCTGACTGTTAAAATGTTTTCCGCGACGATAATTGGTGAGTTTGGAGCAATACAGCCAACCCATACCGCTGACTAAAGCCTCGTGCAACGTAACGAGCCTTAAAGACAGGCGGAGAACCCGACGGCCGCTTCACCCTGAAAATCCACATGCCACCGATTATGTTCGCCCCAGGAGGGGGAACTAAAAAGACGTAAGTGCCTGTGGACTTCCAGGATGCCATCTCTGCGTCCATGGATGTCTGCCACTGAGAGAAGGGACCCGTAATCGCCTCTGTGTAGGAGCGCGGGGTCGGGATGTCTGGTGCATTCGGGTCTTCCTCAGGTGCAAGCAACATGGCCAAGAGATGAGGTACAGCAGCTGCAAGACACTCAAAATCCTCATGCCTGTCCTCAAGGACGTCCGTGCCAAGAGCACACTCACCCTCGACGAATGGAGGACAGTCAGACTCTGACTCAGCAACAAGACTAGCGGCGTAGTCGAGACGACAAGCAGCAGCAAAGTCAACAAGCTCAGCAACAAGGGCAGACGCAGCAGCGGACTCAAACGAAGTGTCAGTGACAACAGTGGCTAGAAGACGTGTGACAGTATGACTGGCAGCACGAACCAAGTCAGACTGAGGGGTCCGGACCGTCAGCAAGAGAGGACGCATGAGGAGATGGCAAGGGAACTCGCAGTGGAACAGAGGAAGGACGAAGTGCCATAGTGTGAGTGTCGGGGACAGAAGGAGGACGCGGACGAGGAACACGACGACCAGTGCGAACAGGCGAGGCAGGACGAGACGCAGGCTTACGGCGCTATGTAAGAGAGTCTGTCCGCTCAGTGTAAGGAGAAGGAGCAGGCAGAGGTGAGTCTGGCTGTAACTGTGGCTGCGACTGGTCAGGCAATGGACACAGTAGAGGCGGAGTAAGGTCAGCAGAAGACAGGAGACTAAGAACCTGGTGAACCAGTGGAATGAAGTACGGTCACCGCCGCATAGTGTCTCCAGCACCAGTACCGACAGCTCCAGCACTAGTACCGACAGCTCCAGCACCACCAGCACTAGGACCTCCAGCTCCAGGGTCTCAAGCTCCAGCGCCTGCAGCTCCAGGGTCTCCAGCTCCAGCATCTGCAGCACCACCAGCTCCAGCAGCTCCAGTACCTCCAGTACGAGCACCTCCGGGACCAGAAGCTCCAGCACCTCCAGCACCTCGAGTACCAGCAGCACCACCAGCTTATGCAGCTCCATTACCTCCAGCACAAGCACCTCCAGGACTAGCAGCTCCAGCACCTCCGGTACCTCCATCTCTAGCAGAACCTGTCAGAATGTTATATAGCTTATGCTGTTGTGTAGGCTATAGTGGGGTATCCCATAGGGGGTACAACCCAATTAGGGTTTCCTATATGTACTCACTTCATTCATAGTTCATCCATTCTCGTTCTATTCTTCTCATGGTATCGAGCAGGTTCCCTTGTGGGAGCTGTGCCTAGGGCCCACCACTCGATTTTTTTTCCTGCCCGAAGCGCACTCATCCCGAGTCGCGCCTCGGGCCTTTCTCTTACCGAGCCGCCCTAGCGGCCGACCCTTCGATCGCGGCCCCGCCGCCCCTTGATCGCGGCCCCGTCGCCCTTACCTCGCGGCCCCGCCGCCCTTACATCGCGGCCCCGCCGCCCCTGCTCTCGCGGCCCCGCCGCCCCTGCTCTCGCGGCCCAGCCGCCCTTACATCGCAGCCCCGCCGCCCCTGCTCTCGCGGCCCCGCCGCCCTTACGTCGCGGCCCCGCTGCCCTTACATCGCGGCCCCGCCGCCCTTTGACCGCGGCCCCGTCGCTCTGCGGTCGCGGCCCCGCCGCCCTTACATCGCGGCCCCGCCGCCCCTGCTCTCGCGGCCCCGCCGCCCTTACGTCGCGGCCCCGCCGCCCCTACTACGCGGCCCCGCCGCCCTCACCAACGCGGCCCCGCCGCCTTCACCTCAGCGGCCCCGCCGCCTTCACCTACGCGGCCTCGCCGCCCTCACCTACGCGGCCCCGCCGCCCACGCCACGCCGCCCGGTACCGGAGCAGCCGAGTCGTCCAGCAGCAGCCGCCGCACTGCCGGACCACCGAGCCGCAGTGCAACCAAGCCGCCCCGCCCCCGAGCCGCCCTGCACCCGAGCCGCCCGGCAGCCGAGCCGCCCCGCCCCCGAGCCGCCCTGCACCCGAGCCGCCCGGCACCCGAGCCGCCCTGCCGCCGAGCCGCCCGGGAGCCGAGCCGCCCAGCAGCCGAGCCGCCGAGTCGCCAAGCCGCCCTCCTCCCGAGCCGCCCGACCTGCCCTGCCCGGTGAGCACCGTCCCGCTGTCACTGCGTGCCCTTCCCCTACTGCTTGCACTGCTCCACTGTCGTCGTCATGGCTACCCCTAGTGTCCTCGCTTTTGACGCTGAGGGTCGAGCCATTGACTTTGAGGTCTGGGTCGACGACCTGCAGCTGTTCTTACAGTGCGATAGGGCGGACGGTCTTTCACTCTTTGACCTCACCTCTGGCGCCTCTCCTGCCCCTGCTGCTGATGCTGACCCCACTGTTCGCTCTCAGTGGGCCACCCGCGATGCTGCTACACGTCTTGCTGTGCGTCGCCACTTGCCCACCACTGAGCGCGCGCACTTTAGTCAGTACAAGAGTGCTCAGACCTTGTACGACGCTGTAGTTGCGCGCTACTCTTCCCCTGCCACTGCTGCACTGAGCCGTCTCATGCTACCGTACCTCTTTCCTGATCTCACTGCCTTTCCCACTGTCGCTGACCTCATTACGCACCTCCGCACTAGTGACACTCGCTACCGCGCCGCCCTTCCTGCTGAGTTCTGCGCCAAGAACCCCCCCCCCAAGTACATCACTCTCTACTACATAGTCACACGCCTCCCTGACTCCCTTCGCGTAGTCAGGGACCACTTCCTCTCAGTCTGTCCCACCACTCTCACTGTCGACCTCCTCGAGAAGGCCCTCCTAGCGGCGGAGAAGAGCATTGTCGCTGTCGGAGCCTCTCGTGGTGACCCTCGCACCCCCATCTTTGAGGGGTGTTCTCCTTCCCCCCTACTGCCCTCTATTGCCTCTGCTGCTGCTGCCGACCTGCTTGGTCTTGAGTCGGTCGGCGCGGCGTCTGCCCCTAGCGGGAGACACCGCCCTGGCAAGGGCAAGGGGGGCAAGGGCGCGGGTGGAGCTGGAGGGGGCGGTGGAGGGGGCGGTGGAGGCGGCGGAGGGAGTGGGGGTGGCGGTGGGAGTAGTGGCGGAGGCGGTGGTGGTGGTGGCAGCGGCGGAGGAGGCGGCGGTGGCGGCGGCAGCGGTGGGAGTGGAGGCGGCGGTGGTGGCGGAGGTGGAGGCGGCGGTGGCGGAGGGGGTGGAGCTGGTCGGGGTGGTGCCCCGCAGCAGGCCGGCTCTGGTAGTGGTCAGCGCCAGCAGCAGCAACAGCAGCAGCAGCAGCGTTCGCGGGACATCCCCCCGCCCCAGCAGCTCCGTGAGTGGTACACGCAGCGTCAGAGGGGTGGGGGTACTGGTCCGTGCGCCTACGTCCTTCGTTCCGGCGACCGCGCGGGTGAGCAGTGTGGGGGTGCCCACCCCACCCAGCGCTGCTTTGGCCGCCTGACGGACGCTTGGCGTCAGCAGTTCCCCGAGGCTAGTGAGATTCCCCGCTGGGGAGAGCTATCTAGGGCTGGTGTAGCTATCTTTGATCTTGACTTTGATGCTATCCTTGTTGCCATGTATGCTGTGACTATTAGTGAGGAGGGTGACTGTTACCGGTGTTTCCCGCCCAACCCGGGCATTGGTACTGCTGCGCTAGGTGCTTGTGAGGCTGCTGCTCTAGGTGCCAGTGCGTCTGCGCTCTCAGGTACTGGTGAGGCTGCGCTCCCAGGTACTGCGTCGGCTTCGGCCTCCCTCACTTTCACACTTGACTCAGGGGCTTCTCGCTCCTTCTTTCGAGACCGCACCACACTCACGCCGCTTGGTCGGCCGGTTGCAGTCTCCCTGGCTGACCCCTCTAGGGGTCCTGTCCTCTCTCACTTCTCCACTGTCCTCCCGTGTCCGGCTGCCCCCTCGGGCACCCAGTCTGGTCTGTACCTCCCCTCGTTCTCGACGAACTTGGTGAGTGGTGCTGACCTACAGGATGCGGGGGTTCACCAGTTTACTCCTGCGAGTCAGCGGGTGACCCACTGCACGGACGCATGTACAGGCCGGCACCTGGCCACGTTCTCGCGTCGGCCAGGGTCGAGCCTCTACACTCTGACCACTGAGTCTCCTCCTGTCCCTGCGTCTGGCTAGGTAG